GTTTTTTTCGGCGAAAAACGCCTTCCTATACATGGTCGTTTTTTTTGGGTTAAAACGCCTTACTATACATGGTTGTTTTTTTCATCTAAAAACGCCTTACTATACATGGTCGTTTTTTTTTCGGCTAAAAACGCCTTCCTATACATGGTCGTTTTTTTCATCTAAAAACACCTTACTATACAAGGTCGTTTTTTTCGGCTAAAAACGCCTTCCTATACATGGTCATTCGAAAAGCTCAAGTTAAAAGAGCTGTTTGAGAGCCAAAAAGAGCCGTCTCTTTTCACTGAGCCGATCCAAATGAACCGGATCACCGAAAAGAGCCGAAAATCCCATCACTAACCCACACCACCATGGGGAGAACATGCAAACTCCACTCCAGGACACCAGATCGCGAATTTGAATCTCCATGCTCAGAACTGTGGGGTGGATGTGCTAACATTTGTCCACCGTGGCGCCGAATCATAATAATGATCTTATAATGATAAAAATAATCATTATAATTGCAGGTTAGGTTTATATCACCATTCTTGTGCCTTTACCTTGTTCCTTGAGCGTGACCAAAGCGGTGCCGGTGCCAAAGTTGTTCCAAGCAGTACAGTTGTAACGCAGCTCAAAATCAGGCGCCAGGGTTTCAGAGAGCACCAGAGAGGACACAACTCCTTGGTCACTGGTTACTGTTTGTACTGAGTAGCGACCAGAGGAACCGGACGAAAGGCTAATGTCTCCAAAGGACCATACCTGTGGGAAGGAGCAAGAACGTACATAATAGACGGGTGAAAGATTTTTCGACACACGTTTCTTCACGAGTGAGTAAAGAAAATACATGTACGCCCTTTGATCCCTTCAGTCTGCTACCCACATTGCTCTCTGTCCTACTTTCTTTCTGCTGACCTCAAAAGTGCTATTAGCCTGACCCGTCTCACGAGCTTATGTTTAAGGACCCTCCCACGTGCGCCCTGCAGGTGAGTTGTGAGGAGGGTGAGGCAGCCACACTGAAGTGGGCCTCCACTTTGCTGTCTGTAGCACAGGGCAGAGGGCCACCCCCCGCCCCCTCTCTCTGTCCTTCTGTCCCTCTACTCAGGCACCCCAATTATCCTCTCTCAGCCCAGCATAAATTCATGATTCAACACGGTCAGCTGAGTGATGCCTTTCGGGCCGCTAATTGAATGCAGTTTGGCTGAAACCTGTCGGAAGCCCGTCTCCCACAGCTCCCCCCGACTTCTTTCGCTTCATTTAATGCCAGTGCAATTACACCACTGAATATGTGTGTATGTCTTGATTAGTGGGCTGAAAATGTGTGTGTCTTGATTGGCGGGCTGAAAATGTCCTGGTGCAAAAGTGTGACAGTGAGGTCAGAGTCTACCAAGTGATAGCTCATATGTGGGTGGTGAAGTATGTATGTCACAAACATGGGCGATAAGAGTTTCACTTACGATCTTATAAGGTGGTGGGCTGCTTCCCACCCTGCATTCCAGCTTGCCCTTGGAGTGCTTCACAGCATGCTGCGTGGCCTCGGCTGTGATGATAGGAGGGCCTAGTGTGAAGAGAAAAAAAAAAGACGGAGAGAAGAGAAGCAAAGAAATGAGGAAACATTCTGACAGAGCAAATTGTCAAAGTAATCCATTTGTGGAGGGAACCCACCATTTACAGTCAGAGTGGCATCTCTTTCTGCAATTCCTATGCGTGGAACGATGGCCTTGCAGGTGTAAGTCCCAGCCTCGGCCTGGGTAACAGACTTGATCTGCAACGTGTTGCTGTTACTCAGCACCTGGTGAAAGACAGAACATGCCGATGAGACTGGAGGTTTGTCAACTCCAGACAAATCACATTGGGGTTCCCGCGTAGGCTGATTTGTACCGTATTGGCCCGAATATAAGACGGCCCTGATTATAAGACGACCCCCTCTTTTTCAAGACTCAAGATTGAAAAAAGACTTTTTGAGCACCAAATATATTTTTATGCAGAAAATAATTATAGTACATCTGAAACAAATGATTATAACAACATATTTGAGAGAAAAACCATGTCATTTTTCCTCATTCAAATCTTAATATCTGAACATTTAAATATGTAAACTAAAGTGCAATCACATTTGTAAATGAATGGCTTCTGATTTTTGAAATATAAATTACATCATAACTTCTCCTCAGCTGCCGGTTAACCTGACCGATCTTCGACCCACTTTTCTCCAGATTGTCGCTACGTTTCTCTATTTTCTGTTATCTCTTCTATTATTCTCTTCTCTTTTCTTTCTTACTGCTATTTTTTATTTTTCTTCTTCGTGCTACCGCTATTTTTATTTTTATTCTTTGTGACAGGGGTTCGCTTTGGCCTGGTGAGTCAAATTCTGCATTCGCTTCAATGATATCTGACGCCATCTAGTGTCGTGAATGGGTATAATGTCTAGACCCCGAATGTAAGACGACCCCCACTTTTTCAGTCTTATTTCAATGCAAAAAACACCGTCTTATATTCAGGCCAATACGGTACCGAGCAGTACAGATGTTGCCTTGAGTCAAAAATTCAAAACAGATACCAAATTATCGAATCCGCCCGTATAGGTCTCTAGCATCCTTTTGTTGAAGTACATACTTCAGTGTGTTAGAAAAGTATATTCTCTGTTAATCATAACCACACACAATCTTTGTTAAAGTGTGAGGATATGAAAGTAGACCTTGTTCCTCTCTCACTTTGCTGCGCAACAAGGTAAGATGTCTGCGGTTTGAGGAGCAGGTGGATACGGCAGATGATCACTGCCGGTTCATGTCTGTGCTAATGAGAAATCAGCAGATATTTCTTAGTGGAACAGGTGTGTTTGAAATGTCTCATTTGCATGGAAGTTTTTATTAACTCATTCAATACCAGCCAATTCTAGACCCCTTTTTTTTTTTTTACCATAAATCTTGGAAAAATTGACAAAAAAAAGTATCTGGGGTTGAACGTGAGGAGTGTGAAAAGACATATAAATATGTCTTTGGGAGTGAATGAGTTAAATTGCATCTCTTCTTAGTTTCCCGGTGCTCTTCCTGTCTCTTCTACTCGGTCAAACAATTTTCCCCTCATTAGTGTTCTAAAGTAATCGAAAGTGTGGAGTTCTGAACATATCAGTCTGTCGGTTGATTGAGAATGATTACTCACAAGAACAAAATACTGTATTGGCCCGAATTTAAGACGGTGTTTTTTGCATTGAAATAAGAAAAAGTGCGGGTCGTCTTATATTCGGGGTCTAGACGTTATACCAATTCACGACACTAGATGGCGCCAGATATCATTGAAGCGAATGCTGAACTTGACTCCCCAGGCCAAAGCGAACGCCTGTCATGAAGAATAAAAATAAAAATAGTGGTAGCACGAAGAAGAAAAATAAAAAAAAATAGCGGTAAGAAAGAAAAGAGAAGAAAATAATAGAAGAGATAACAGAAAATGGAGAAACATAGCGACAATCTGGAGAAAAGTGGGTCGAAGATCGGCCAGGTTAACCGGCAGCTGAGGAGAAGTTACGATGTAATTTACATTTCAAAAACCAGAAGCCATTCATTTATGAATGTGATTGCATTTTAGTTGACGGATTTAAATGTTCAGATATTAAGATTTGAATGAGGCAAAATAACATGCTTTTTCTCTCACATATATTGTTATAATCATTTGTTTCAGATGTACTGTAATTATTTTCTGTATAAAAAATAATTTGGTGTTTAAAAAGTCTTTTTTCAAACTTGAGTCTTGAAAAAGAGGGGGTCATCTTATAATCAGGGCCATCTTATATTCGGGCCAATATGGTACAACTTTTCGATCATGCTGTGGTTCATAACGGCATATCAAGCCATTTACGTAATTGATGCGGCCATCCTCCCCTAAGACCTGATGCCAATCAAATCAGGGTTTACCACCCCAAGCTGGAATGAGATGAACTGAACTGTAGGTCTTGTACTTCTTGGAAACCCGTCTCACAAGTTGCATCATCCGGTGGCAACTGTCGGTTTTGGTATAATTTGCTTGTCTCTAATCGCAATATTTGAACACTGAAACAAAGGCTGGGGAGATGCTTGGTAAGATTGTTGTCCTTAAATTGTTAGGACACAACGGTCGGACACCACGGAATGGTGTGAGTGGGCCTCTGAAGCGGCTGCACTCACATCACTCCTTAGCTCATTGATCCTGTCATTCTATCAAGCTGTGCTTAATCCATTTACCTCCACTCAGGCCTCCCACCCATTTCCACACAGTCCCCCTCTCGCACTTGCCACTTTTCTTTTTCAACACACTTACAAAGTAACCCAATTAGTCTATTTCTCTGGGCAATGTGAGGGACAGTGATGGTGGGTGGATTGAAAAAAAATGTCAGTTTGCTCCCTCAGAGGGGCCGAAGGCGTTCACTCTCAGATGTGACGACGGCGCTCACGGCATCTCCAGTTGTTTTTCACTCAAGGTATTTTCACCTGCGTGTCTTTAACAGTAATACTGGTAGCAAGGAAAGGCGCTCCTGTGGGATCGTGCTGATGTGTTGCACTAAAATGCTTTTTTTTTTCTTTCTCAGGATAGCAATGTTCTTCTCTGAAACGGTTATTCAAATGCTGCTAGAGCTGCCTGATGCCTGATAAGCTGCGGACGTTTTAACGGCACCGGTTGACTGACTGCTTCTTGGTCTGATTGATTTACTGCGATGACAGCCAGTCGGAGCACAGCAATGTTGTGTATATCTGTCAGTGGACAGACAGTTCTCTGCCAGAGGCGTTATACCTCAGGGAGCATGGTGAGCGCAGCTTTTTGAAGAATGCGTAGAGAGAAAAGTGTGAAGGCGTCATGCCTGAAGGCCATGTGTGAATGTTTCACTCTGAAGGTGACGGTGATCAGTGGTGAAGTGTTGAATCTTCAAGATGGCTGTATATCGCCTTACCTCGCTTGAGCCTTGTTTGGTCCAAGCCAGGGTCAAGGGAGGGTTTCCAGTCCACGTGCAAGTGAACGCTGCATCCATCCCAATATCCACAGTCATTGGCTTTGGCCCCGACAGCAATCTGGGGCCAACTGCGGGGAAGCAGACAGTTTGAATCAATATGCTTATCGCTTAACACCTATGCCTCGCAACTTCAATGTAGCGGCTTTGTTTACAGTCCTTCGGTTCAACTTACACTGAACATCAACCAGGGTGCTAACATTGGTGCTGCCCACAGAGTTGGATACCGCACAGGAGACCGGATCTGTGAAGTAGGAATGGTCCACGGTCACCTCCAGACTGTCGCCATTCGCCTCAGAGATGGGGACTCCTCCTTTCGACCACCTGCGGCGGACGAATAATCACATCATGCATTCAGATTATTAGTTCAGGGAAGGTACTTAGCCATGCATATCAAAGTGGCTATTAGCTCATTCATAGCGTGTGCCAATCATAATCAAATGCTGCCAATCAAGCTGCTCATTCAAGCAAATTATTCAAACACGTGCACTTTTTTTTCCCCTTCTCGGGGTGATGTGCTATTCGGCATAGCGTCCTACCGGCAGAGACGATACATATTCTTCATTTTGCTCAATTTAAAACGTCTTCAAAAGAGGGCGCCTCTACCTGTAGCCAATAATTTCCGGATTGGCTGAAGCGGTGCATATGAAGAGAACCTTGGCACCTTCGGTCACTGTCTGAGGCTGGACTGACAAAACCACAGATGGAGGGTCTGCAAGATGTGATGCAAAAATTAGCAGACCCAATTTTGACATGACCACTTCTCCTTTTGGTCATTGGATGAGAACGCGGATGAGTGCATGTTTGGGACTCACGTTGGACATTGATAGTGATGGATGTCTGCCTTCCAGCAGGGGCAGCTGGGTTGAGAACCCTGCAGGTGTAGGTGCGGCCGGAGTCGCTGTCCTCTGGGATGATTGGAAGCATGCTGACAGCTGCCTCCCTCTTCCCATCTTCCATCAGTGTCTGGCAACCATACACAATAGCTGTTAGGCTCAGCTGCAAGCCACACTACATCAGCTATATGTCATCTTATTTTTAGTTTGATGCGTACGCCAGTAACGCTATTTTAATTTAAAATTCTTTGGCACCGGCGATGAAATATATTAGTATGTTTTACGAGGCAGCGCGGGGATTTTTTGCTGTTCCGACATTTCTGAGAGCGTTTGTCGTCAGCGCCTTGTTTGTCATCGTCTTTTAAATCTATTTACTGCTTACAGAAATCAATACGCCTAAGTGAGGCAAGGTGTAGATTCTCAGGGTAATGCATACTGCTCACTCTCTTTCACACACACACACCCACACACAGAGAAGGGAGAAGAGTGTAATGGCCAAATCGCTAGCGAGTCTGTTTTTGGGTGGTGACAGCACGTGGCAGAAATGTCACATTTTCTGGAAAAAAGAAAAGACACGCTGGGCATTTTCTCCTGGACACCAAAATCAATGGAGCGATTCTTTGTCTTCCTCAGCAAGAAATATACCCTTTTTTTAAAAAATGTTAGTGGATGGAATTTTTCTTTGTTTCTTATGTGTACCCCCTCTCTTCTTCCCCGCCATCCCCTCTCACTGCAAGCGCTCGCCTCCTTAAATGTGGTGGTTAGCGTCGTTTAGCGTGCTCAGAGAGCATGAAAAATGTGACACTTTCCCAGCCGTGGCTGACTCACGCTCCGCCGCACCACCATTGTGTTTCTGCATTGTTGTGTTGGTGATTCTCTCTCTGCAGAAAACTCTACTGTATGAAACCCTCATGCCTGTCTGAGCTTTGGCATGCTCCAGTTATGCTGTAGTGTCACTGCATTAGCAGAAGGGAGGGGTGGGGGGGGGGGGAGCAAGGGGGTTAGTGGGAGTCGAAGGGGGGAGCAGGCGGAGTGGAGAGGCGTGAGTGAAAATGGGAGGGGGACTGCAGAGAGCCATTTGAGCAAACCTTATGAGAAAAGGGTGGTGATTGAAAACCATGGAGGAAAACTAGAGGAAAGAGGTGGACTGTATTTGAAAGGTTTTTGCTTGCAAATCTCTTGCGAGCAACATCATGGGTGAGTACCGGGGGGGGGAGATGATGGCGAGAACTTGCTCCTTGTACCTTGGAGTAAATGGCTGTCTCCATGACTTCTCCATCTCTGTACCAGGTGATCTCTGCAGCAGGCTTGGCTCCGTAGGATCTGCAGGTGAGGTTGTGTGACGTGTGGGCTTTAAGACGCACAACGGGGCCTCCCTCCACCAAAGGATCTGAAGGAGGGACTGGAAAGCAATAACACACTCATCGCTCAATACAAAACACATGAAATTCACTGACTCTGTTTATATGCTTTTGCGACTGACTGGCGACCAAGTCCAGGGTGTACCCAGGCTCTCACCCAAAGGAAAAGAATCCAGGAAAATGGATTGATGGCTAAAAGAGCAAACCGCAATTTGATTTGGGCACCACTACAACGTACACCAATAAACATTGTTTTATGAATATTCTACTCATTGAGTATTATTATCTTCAAAAAAGAATTTCTGATCCAGCTCAAGTCATGGATCATGTTGTAGTATGTCCCCAAAGTTGTGACATTAAAAGAAGCAAACAAGTTCAAACAAGTTATGATGTCTGTTTTCTCATCGTAGGAGAAAATAACACACTTTGCATCCTTTATTTCCTTTTCAGAGGCTAGCATTATTGTTGCAATGGCTCCCACTGTTGCTGAGCGAGGTTTGGACTGAATTGCTTATTTGTTCATTTATTTGCATGGTTTCTCACACAGCACTGGCAAGCCGAGCGTGCCACCCCTGATGAGGGCGTCCATTTCCCGGACCAATAAGGAGCGGCATGAATGTAGGGTTTGTGTTGGCCTTTTTCGCTCCCTCCACCGAACCAATTTCACTGTGTACGTCTGAATTGTCAGAGGTCCTTCCGTTGCTGTTGCATGGACACTAATGGAATCCGAGTGCTAGGTGATTTTAATTTCCATGCCGATTCCCCCGACTGCACTCCAGACGTTAACTCCAGATTGCTTTGGCATGCAGGCAACTGCACGCAAATATACATGCACAGGGAAAAAAAAGTCCCCCTGCACCTTCTTTAGCTCTTGTTTTGCCTTCATATATAAACGCATAGCCTGAGAAGCGCTCCTTCTCATTTCTGTCGATGAAAGAGCACAGTTTCCCATCATCCACCAGTCTCGATCAATTAGAGTGCACTTTATGAAGATGTTTTCATACTTTTCTTGCTCAGAATCAAATGACGGCCACGATGACGAAGCTGCTGAGGATCTCGGGGGAATCATTTCAAACGCGTGGCAAAAAAAAAGTTGGGTACTGTAAGTGTGTTGGACTCCGGGGGGATTGTTTTGAAGGGGCAAAACTTGGAAATACATCTTGTGTGACGTCAGTCCTGGAACTTTTCTGACACAACTCAGTCAAGTGCAGATGTTGCTGCCTGCATTTCGTGATCTTTTTCCTCGGATTTAAAAAAAAAAAATAATGTATGGGTATTTGTTTTGCAGTGTGACTGAAAATAACTCTGAACTTAATTACAATGGTAAGCGTACAGTGAGATCGATTAACAAATGACAAAAGTGATCGAACTCATATATAGACATTTTGGCAATCCTATTAGCTTAAAATAGCAATTGCACTAAAATACAAAAACAATTCATCAAAGGAATCAAGGATGACTATATGCTTGATAAATGAGACTTCTGCCAATATAAGACAATACACCTAAGTTTCAGGAGCCATCAACTGTAGGTCCAGTCCATATTTAGACTCGTCTGTACGCTTATCGGTCAAATCTGGATAAGTAAACGAATAACGATAAGATCGCTTGACTGGGTAAATTTTCCCATCATCATGTCGTGTCCTATGCTTGTCGCCTCTGACTTGCTTCTTTTATAACGCTTGCCGGGCTGAAGTCGATACATGGGGAGTGACATTCCTTCAAATGCCACCAGATGCCAGCAGTGCTTTGCTCATTCCCACAAGACCTGGATGCCCCCCACACCCCCACAGCACCCACTCAACAGACAGACACACAATCATTTGCAACCCCCCCCCATTCCTCACCCCTCAATGTCTGCGTGAAGAAGTGGATCACTCACATCGCGTTAATGTAAAAACTGCCTTGCGGTTGACAAATGTTGTGGCTCACCGTAAAATGTGCTAACTATGCAGACCTTGACTTTCAAGTGACTACTCCAGTCATTTGTGATTCCTGCAATCACATTAGCCACGACGTCCACAGTCTTGAAAGTGTTTACTTCTTCTTTTTTTTTTTTTTTTTCCTTCCTCCATCAGGCTCTCTTGGCTGAGCTTTAACAGAATTATTCCCCCAGCATTTCATTTCCATCACGAAATTAGAGTTATCACTGAGGGGTTGTTGCCGAGTGGTGATAAGAAATCATTTTATTAATGGTAAAGCCTTTAAAGAGGTCGGTGATATTGCCTAGAATGCAATACAGTTTTCATTTGTCTGCCCGCTGGTGTTCTGAATGGGATAATTACGCATTGTGCTCGACTTCCTTTTTTTTTATAATGCCCGTCTTTGTACTTATGTCTCGTTTGATGTGTTCGGATTGTTCTCAAGCTGTGGCAGTCTGAGCTGCGTATCTTACCTAGTACAGTGAGCTTGGCTCGGTGGGAGCGCAGGCCCGCCTGTGTCGCCTGACACTCGTACACGGCATCATCCACCAGCTCTGCCGAATCGATCAGCAAGCTGTGCTCGCCTGATAGCGGGTCGCCCATTAAGGAGTAGCGCGTCCAGCCTGCGTGAAGCCAGCGCACACAACAGTCAGCCACAAACCAAGCAACAATAAACACATAATGACACAACTACAGAGCCCATTTGGACAAAGCGCTAAGAAATGTGGAAAAGCTGTTTAAGTTACAAATGAACGCAGGCGGCACCTCGGTAGGATTGAGCCATTGTGTGTGCGTGTGTGTGCGTGTGTGTGTGTGTGTGTGTGTGTGTGTGTGTGTGTGTGTGTGTGTGTGTGTGAGAGAAAAGCAGCGTGAGGTCTCTCACAGACATACACATGTTTTGGAAACCTAGCAAAAAATTTAGTGTTACAATTCTAATTTATTAGTGTAATTTAAGTGCACCATCTTCATTATTATTAAACACCAACTTGACTCACACATGACTTAAGAACGGAGTCTTCGGAAAGAGAAGGTAAATCAAACGTTTCAAAGGCAAATACTGTAGTGGGGAAACGGAGAAGGAGAGGTGGGATTCAGCTGACTGGTATTTCTGAAAGTGATCTTAAGCAAAGGTGCGAGCAGTCTCACAGGGATCCACCTGGGATGATAAATGTCCGCAGCAAGAAAGGCAAAGAGGAGAGATGCAGCGATAATGATGAGAGGAGGATCGGGACAAGCCACGTTTCTCTTGTACGCTCCCATGTCATCACCATTACTCTTGTCTGCTAACAAAAACCCCTCATCCCTGCCCTCCCTCAGTTTTTAATGATGCTCCACCCCTGAAACCGAATGGTATTTGTCTAATAGGCAAGTGAGTGAAAAGCAGCATGAGGTGGGAAATGAAACACATGAGGAGTCTGTCCTTGAAGAACAGACACAATAAAGAAGGTGGCAGGGCCTCTGGGGCCAAGAGGCAATCCGTCCGCCATCAAATGTCAGTGCGAAAAGTTGATCGATTATCTACCTTCCTACAAAAACCTTAAAAAGCTAGACAGCAAATCACGTTATGTGTGCGCAGCAGTCGCCAACCTTTCACCAGTCGATCTTGTAAAACCTAAATGGTTAAGGAAGAGAGCTTTGGTTTCTAATGGGGTCTGCCATTGATCGGAATAAGAAACTACCGGCTGTATTCGAGTATACTCACCTAAAGAAAATGTACCGGTACTTCCACAAAGGCCAAGTTCACACACAAATATTTTTCAACCTTAAAATGTATGCTATATATAATCTTCTTTTTCAGAATCCCTACAAAAGGATTAAAAAAATGTATGGGATGTTCTGAAAACCTCAAGACAGAGCACCTCACACAAAGTTTTGTTTTATTGCATAATGTTTTGCATAAAGGTTTTCTTCCACCGCAAATGTCTTCAGAGGCAGAAATCTCGCGTGATCACATGTGAACTCGCTAAAACAAAGAAGAAGAGAAGGTCCCGGATGTACGCTGATGTTACGTGAGGGTTTTCAAAAAGGAGCACAGGCGGAGCATTGTTGAGATGGCTTTGTCGCCAAGAGAAAACTTGGTTTGGAAAATACTTCTTGGCGTCTGGGGAACCCACTTTGACACAAAAAAAAAGTATGCTTGATGCTGGGCACGACATATTTTGTCGGGTTGGGTGCTCCTAAAATCTCAACACAGAGCACCACACACGTAAAGATTCTCTTCCACCACCAGTCAAGAGTAAGGAAGGTGGGCACTGAACTAAAAATGCCACAGAGTGTCATCAGTGGGTTGCAACAGAGAAAAAAGAGACTGTCTGAGTCACAGAAAGGCACAGAAGGCATCCTTTCCATGTATCAAACACCTGTTCAGTTCCTTGTAAGAGAACAGCAAGTTGTGCAAAAAAAAGTACCGAAACACTGACCAGAATTCAAACATTTAAAGAAGATCACATTAAGTTCACCTGTAAAGGTGAGAGTGCATTTCACCCGAAAGCTGAATATCAGTGAGTCGTGTATGTGTATTCATTTTTCTTGTTAAATGCGGCACGGCATTGATTTAGATCTGTGTGTGATTGTAGGACTAAAACAAATTTGATTACAGTTGGCCTGGCATCTTGACAACGAACCTTGAAGGTCCAGTTTCAGTCATCTTGGGTGAGAAGCAGAGTGAGATCATACCTGGTAGGTCTCTCTCTCCACCCAAAGCCAGTCCGTCTTTGGTCCACTGCACCATCCCCCGGTAGCCCACAATGACACATGGTAGAGTCACGGACTGCCCAGACACCACCACCTGGTCCTGAGGCTGCTGGGAGAAGTAGGCTGCTCGGGTGGCGGCTGCAAGGACAGAAGGAGAAACATGTTGTGAATCTGACAAGAATTGACATTTTCAGGGCAAATCGTGTACAAATTGCAACACAACGCCTCACATCGAGTGAATGGCAGCAGGTGTGTAGGGTTGGGAGAGTGAAAGTAGCCCTGTGAAGGTGATGGCTCAATAAACTGACATTTTCAAGAGATGGTGGACGCTGATTTGTGTGAACACTGAATATTTCCCCTCCCTATAAATATCCCTTCCAAGAAGAAGAGTCAGCATTGCCTTATAACTTATTTAACTCTTTCCCCAAGTCCATATGCTTGTATGCTTACTAGCACGAAGCACTTCGGGGGGGGCGGAAAAATCTGCCACTCTTTCAGTGTACTTGAAGTAAAAATGGATGTTCAACAATTAAAACAGCACCAAAGGTCCCCAGGGACCCCTTTTGTGTGAGGCGCTTCAAATTCAGCAGAGACACCTGCCGCCGTTGTGCTGCCGTGTTGAAGTGCGCTACACACTCTCAATGGAACGGTTGGCTGGCCTTCAGACACATAAGCGCACACAACCAAAGTACACGTGCAGCGAGACACAACAGCAATATGGTTTCCAAATGTTTGTGGCACTATGATAAAGATTGAGTATTACAAACCCTATACAGCCAAGGGGAAGATGGCGGCACTCCAGAGGTAACTAATCCGTAGGCGGGGAAAGAGACAGTTGGTTGGTTATCTAAGTGGGCTCTCTGTGTGAGTCGGGAGACTTTAAAAAAAGAAAAACTCATTCTCCTTCTCTCTTTCATTGTTGCTCAATGGAGAATGGAAGGGAAGGGGGGACTGGGGGAGATAAAGAGGCCACTATTCAGGCTGGGCTAAGTCCCCCCCCCCTCCACCCCAACCCTTCCTGAACTGCTTCTCTTGGTTGGACTGTCTTGTCCCTCTCTTTTAATAGGTCTCTTCATTCTCAATCAATCCTGCTAAATGCAAGTTTAATAGCTTTTCAATAACAGCCACCCCCCCCCCCCCCCCCCCCCCCCCCCCCCCCCCCCCCCCCCCATCCCCATCCCCTAAGCAGGGTGGCGGGGATTTTTGCTTGCATTCTCACCCTCTTTTTTTCCCGCTTCCCCCTCCTCTTTCTTGCACCATTCTCTTTTTGAGTTTGAATGGGGCTGCTTGTTGGCAGTGTTTATTCCACACTCAATTATCCACTTCATCTCAGGGAGGGTCTGCGGACTCAACCCTGTCCCTCAGCCTCTCCCTCCCACTGCCTCTGCCACCTAGCAGCATAATTAAAGCAAAGCTCAGTCTCAACTGAGCTTTTCGGGGTTTTTTTTTATGTTTTGCATTCCGATGAACAAATGTTTCGAAGGGTATGCAGAAAACCGATCTGTATCGTACAGGACTTTAGACACAATTCTTTCAGTGTACCAACCTTCATGGGACACGATTATAACACGAGAGTTACAGTAGGCAGCTGTAACAGATATAACAATAGATATGCAATAGTAAGTAATTAAAAACCATTATGGATTTACTGTATGTTAATGACACAACCCATAATGAAAGCCTGATCAGGGTTTACCCTTCCAAAACCGTACTGCAGCAAATCGAACTGAACTGCGCTCAGTGACTTCAAATTATAGACTGAACATTTGAACCAACGGCTGATGGTTGAATCGTTTAATTTTGGCAGCAAGATTGTTTCAATTTAATACCGTGTGGTTCTGGTGACGTGCATGTAGCAAGAGTGTTATCGAGATGTAAAAACACAAAACTCAACAAGTCTTTGGAAGAACATTTTTAACAGCAATCACAACTGTCTTTCCCATCTAGATGCTATCTTTTCGAAACACGATAAAACATGCACATGCGCGGCGAGTCTTACGTGTTCTTTTATGAATGGTGAAATACATTGTTAGACACCCCCAAACATTGAAAAAGGAAAGTGAATACTCTGAAGCCACGTTTTAACTGAACAGCTCAGTTCAGTTCACCATGTTACTGTTGAATCTCGATCAGTCGGAATGGGCAACTGTGTGTGGTCATTCCACACTACGCAAGTGAACTGTACCGGAAAGGTTGTTGACTAGTGGCACAGTATGAAATATTGAAGCCCTTTCATCTTAGGCAGCAAGCTAAAGTAAAACCTCTCCTTTCTCATGAGCACTTTGAAAGAGCAATTCATGCCTTCGTCACATTCTGGTTGGATTACAGTAATGCACTTTACTTTGGAGTCAGCCAATCCTCCATTAAGCATCTCCAGTTGGTCCAGAATGCTGCTGCTTGCCTCTTGACTGGTACTCGTAAGAGGGAGCACAAAACTCCTACTCTTCACATCTCTTCACTGGCTCCCTATGCATTTTAGAGTTCTTTTTAAGATCCTGTTATTTGTTTTCAAATCTTTAAATGGCCTTGCTCCACCTTACCTCTTTGAGCTCCTCCACCCCCACACACCTGCAGACCAGACATTATGAGAGGCACCAAAAACTTTCATTGCTGGTCTCTCTCTTTGGAATGACTTCCCACTGAACATTTGGCAAGCCCCCTCGATGCCCATCTTTAAAACCCGTCTCAATACTCATTTGTATTCTTTGGCTTTTGACTCAGCATGACTCAGACTTGATCTTAGTTTTCCTGTTTTGTGCTTCCTACTGTCTTTGTTATTAATTTCTTGTTTTATTGTTTATTGTTGTATATATGATATTTGCTCCATGTACAGCCCTTTGTATACAGCGGTAGTTGTTTTAAAGTGGTCTATAAATACAGTTGAGTTGAGCTGAGTTTCTCATGGGTTTACCGAACCAATGTGTTCCCAGTTGAACCAACCAAACTGCTTGGTGTCATAAAGCCTGTTTTATCCACCTGACCCACAGAGGATGTTACGAAAAGCTCACCCAAGAAATAAAAATGTGTCATTGGTGCACTCGTGTTTTGTGTGTCTGCGCCCCACTCTCACAAAAGTGTTGGAATGGCCTATTGAGCGGCAGGTAGGCTGCATGTGTGTGAATCAAAAGGGGGGCCAATTTGAGCATGCCAGTGAGCCTTGGAGCTGGGGCTGTCGGATGCCGAATGAGGACCGACATTTTCCATCAGAAAGTGTCACTTTACACTCTTGCCTGTCTAACATTCTACATTCATAAGGTAATGAGCAGTTTCATAATCCTCCCCCAGCAGAAGCAGATTGAGATTTTTCTTTTTGTGCTGCCAAAGAGAGGGTGCAAAAAAAAAAGATTGCAATTAGGTATCTGGCCCAGTGTATCTAACTGTGTACAATGGGTAATAATTCACTTCATTGGCTGATTGTTTCAACGGATTACATGCTGCGAAGTGTTTGTCTATACCACACCCACACACAATTTTGTATGCTCACACTTAGCAATTAATGCTTCATATGGAGCCATACAAAAATAGAGTGACGATTGTGTGCTGTAGCGAGTGATTCACAGCTCTCCAGATCCCTTATTGAAAAGGCTCTACAGAACATCTCGACTGGCTAATGACTCATGCCAGATTCCTTTAATTCCTCGTTGCCGAATTAGACAATTCTTTAACGGTGTATTAGCGGCTTAATTACATGAATACGTTCCTGATAGGGAGCGAGGGAGGAACAGAGGCACACAAAGGGAACGGTGGAGGCAGTCTGAAGATTCTCACTCGCACACAAGTATGCAGTCCACAAACACACTTCTCACCAGACTTAACGTGGAGCTTTGCTATTGGCTGCAATTGAATCAAATAGAAATGAAAATGATGAAAATACAAATGTGACTCTTAAAAAGCCAAAATCACTGCACTGGATTTGACTTGTTTTGCTTCCCTACCTTAATTCTATTCATGGACTCATTCATGTATTCCCGACATTCCCACTCTATGGATTAGTCGTTTTGCATGTGTTGGATTAATGTTACCTTTAAAGCTTATTGCCACAAATTCAGCATTTACAGTACTCTGTTTCTTAACTCTTGTATGTATATGCGTATGTGTGTGTATATACGAAGGCTTTCGTGAAAAGTGCAATGCAAATAAAATGGTCTCTCTGACTTACTTGCCAGACTTTTAGCTTCAAATGTAAACCTGTACTGTGAGATGCATTCCTATATGTCAGCTTTCAAACCCACGCGTACACCAACAAAGGGTAGAATTTACACCGATCTGTTTGAGTGGATCGAAAACGGCCGATATTTTGCATTTTTTTGCAAAATAGCTGATTGACTGTAATGTCATATAATTTGTGTCGTCTATTAATCATGTCAATTATTGGATCCGCAAAATAAGAGATGACAGCAAACATGCACAACCTCGTTCACTCCGGGGTTGTTCTGTACTGCCACAGTGGGAAGTGAGCCCAAAAGCCAATCTATTTTTAGCTCGAGTGGAAACCCCCTGCGCCTGAGGGCGGAAGTTCCGCCCATCTAATCACAAAGTGAGAGCATTCATGTAGTTTTTATTTTTTATTGGTGAAAAGTCTGAAAACCATTTTATTTACGTGTTATTTAATTTTAGCACCTCTCTCATTCAAAATAGCTTTTTAGCGTAAGTTACGTGAGCTTCCGGCCACGCACGTTCAGCCACTCACAGATGCAACCAGGGGACAAGCGTGGTGTTTGAACAAACACGGAAACAGCACAAGATCCACAAAAAATTTGCTCAACAAGGATAGAAGACAAATGGTGGTAATGCGGAACGTAAATTGCACAAATCTCATGATGCAATTACATATATACAGTTTGTGCACATAGGTGCAAATTTATAAAGCTGCATCAGAGCCAAACAACTTTGAGAATATGCTACTTCGTCACATAGAGGGCAAATACATGCAAGGTAAAAAATGGACAAACAACGTAGCACAAAAAATCATTGGGGTCTGTGGGCACCGGGACTTGGACATCACAGCCGGCTTCCAATACAAGTCAAAAAGGAGAAGGCGCAGGCTACTTGACGTAGCTGCTAAATAAGTGGATGGATTTGTTTCCAGCTGTTGAACCAACATAGAAATAGTTTTAGCAAAAGGCCAGGCCACCTGA